GGATAGCTCTATGTAAAGAGGATGTCGAACCTACAAGGAGATGAAATTAGTATTTAGTTTTTACTTTAGTCCTAATGGTTTATAGGTAATTGATAGAAAATTTTGCTTGGTTGTCACAATTAAAAACAAACTAAAATTAAAACGAAGTATTAAACTAAATTAAATTAAATGATCAGAGAAAGAAATCTTAGGGCTTTGACTTCACCATAATCATCATACTACAGTTAATTGTATCAACTCTGGGAATTTAACCGATAATGTTTTTAAAGGAATTGAACTCAATAACATTCGTTTAATTTGGGTTTTAAAGAAAGATGATTTATAAAATTTAGTTAACTATAACCTATCTATAGTTAGCATGGACTATCCACCTACCTACTCTAACTACTTTAACTATTTTGTAAACAATCCACCTTTCCTAAGCATAGATTATGAAAACATTCTTTTATAAGAAAAAACATTGGAACACCATTATATGACCTCTATTCTCATGTCTGGCAAGGCTCCGCCAGATACCGTCCAATAAGATAGGTTGAGAATAGAAAACAAACAATTATATCTAAGATAAGGTAATAAAAGTTTGTAATCTATTGAAAGAATGAAAACCAATTGAATTGTCTTAATTGCTCATAGTTATATAATCAAAGCATAAAATACATTAAAATAATCCCTGAGTTAAGAACAATCAAACCATAATACTAGATTGGGTTACATCAGTGCCCTAAGAGAGGAATTAGCTACTCATGACGATGTCGGATATCATCTGTGTTGGAGTTGTCTCCATCATCACGGATGGTACTTCCCTTCTTAGGATCTTCACCTTCTAAGGTTGTGGAAACCCTAAAAGCTAGCACAGTATCAGCCTTCTGAATAACGCGGCAAAAGGACTTGGAATTTTAGACCTCTTCTATCAAGGCTTAAGCCTTCTTTTATAGAAGAAAATAAGGATTCTGGTGGGCTTTTAGGTCTTTTGGCCCATCTGGAATGAGATACGGCTTGAAAAGAGAACATTCTCATAACTTAAATCTGACATGGCATGGAAGGCTCGAGCTTCAAGAACAAAGGCTCGAGCTTTAAGGTTCAGGCTCGAGCTTAAGGAACAAGGCTCGAGTTTTTCCGGATTGATGCTCGAGGTTCAAGAATGGTGCTTGAGCTTCACTTTGACACTTTAGCCAAATTTCTTCAATTACTTTCTGAAGCGTCTTTTTCTTCAACACTTAGAATATTCTTCGGATTGAAATCTTTTAACATTGCTGGATCAAAGCTTTATGGGCTCGAGCACTAAGTACCAGGCTCGAGAATTTGGTTCTCAAGGCTCGAGCTTCAATGGATGGTGCTCAATCCTTGGGGTTATGCACGAGGTCTGGGAGCTTAGAAATCAACTCTTCGAATTCCAATGCCTTGTGCTTGAGCTTAAAGGTCAAGGCTCGAGCACCCTACGGTCAGACTCGAGCCTCACCCTTTGTTCAGGCTTGAGCTTGAAGGTATAAGGCTCAAGCATAAATACCTTGCTGATTTTTCTTCTTTGGCTTGTAAGGCTCGAGCCTTAAGACTTGGGCTCGAGCTTTGGATATTAAACTCCTCTAAACTTCACCATTAAAGCTCCCAGCTTGCTCTGGATGACCGGTAACAACTCTGTAAGCTTCGATATCATTATAAAGTCATGGTTTTAACCATTTCTCTGGGAAAGTACCTACAAACACACATTAAGCATAAATCAATCTAATAATAGATAAAATTATCACTTTAGGCTGCAACATATGTCTATTTAGGGGCTCGAATATGCAAATATTCAGTGCTCATCAGAAGGCTCTTTATCTTCAATATTTTCTGCCATAGACAAAGCATAAACAACTAAATCTACATAAGCATACCTCTTAGGAGGTTTAATTTACCGTTTTTGTCTCCCTGTAGCAATACTGTACTGTTACTCATCTGGTACTTGATCATCCTACACCTCTTTAATATTGGGCTGAACTGGAATATTGACTTGTTTCTCTAGAGCTTCAAAGTCATGCTCCACCTATTGCTTAACACCCTAAGATTCACCTGTAACAAAAGACTCCTTCCTCGGGTGAAGTAAAGCAAACTCATCAAAAGTAACATCTCTGCTGGTAATAAACTTAGGTGACTTAGGATTAGGACACCACAACCTGTATCCCCTTGCCCTAGATGCATAGCCAATAAAAATACATTTCTTGGCTCTAGGCTCAAGTTTTCCTTCATTAACATGAGCATAAGTAGGACATCCAAAAACTCTTAAATTAGAATAATTAGCAGAAGTACCAGACCATACCTCTTTAGGTGTTTTGCACTCAATAGCAGTCGATGGTGACCTGTTCACCAAATAGTAAGCTGTGTTGACTGCTTCAGCCCAAAATCCCTTAGACAACCCAGCATTGAAAAGCATACAACGAGCTCTTTCCAAGAGAGTTCTATTCATGCATTCTGCTACACCATTTTGTTATGAAGTCTTTCGAATTGTATGGTGTCTAACAATGCCTTCATTACTGCAGAACTCGTTAAACTCTCCTAAGCAAAATTCTAAACCGTTATCTGTTCTAAGACACTTAATCTTCTTTTCGGTCTGCTTTTCAATCATAGCCTTCCACTACTTAAACTTAAGGAACACTTCATATTTTTGCTTCAAGATATAAATCCAGACTTTTCTGGAGAAGTCATCAATGAAAGTCAACATATATAGAGAACCGCCAAGAGAGGGAACTCTGGAAGGACACCAAAGATCTGAATGAATGTAATCAATAGTGTCGTTGGTCTTGTGAACAGCTGTACTAAACTTGAGTGTTTTCTGCTTGCCAAGGACACAATGCTCGCAAAAGTCTAGCTTTCCCGTCTTCTGTCCACCTAGCAAACCTCGTTTGCTTAATTCTGTCAAACCCCTCTCATTCATATACCCTACATGCATATGCCATAAATAGGTAGTTTCTGAATCTTGATTAACTGAAGAAGATATTAAAGCAGCGCCTGTCACGGTATTGCCCTATAAAAAATGGAGGCCTTTTCTCTGTTTTCCCTTAAGCATAATAAGAGTACTTTTAGAAACTCTCAAAACTCCACCTTCATCTGAAAACTTGTAACCATTAGAGTCAAGAGTACCAAGAGAAATCAAATTCTTTTTCCAATCTGGAACATGCCGAACATCATTTAAAGTTCTAACCATACCATCATGCATCTTAATTTGGATTATGCCTATTCCAACAGTCTTACAGGGATTGTCATTCCCCAGTAAGACAGTACCACCATCAACAGAACGGTAAGTAGAAAACTAGTCCCTATTGGGACACATATGATAGGAACAACCAGAATCAAGAACCCATTCACTATTGGAGTGAAAATCACTGACAGAAACTGAAAGAATATTTTCGACATCCAAGGAACTTTCCTGAGCAACCCCAGCAACATCAAAAGAATTACTAGTGGATTTATCCTTAGACTCCTTTTTATCCTTTTTATCTTTCTTCTTATTTTTCAATTTTGGACAATTCTACTTAATGTACCCTTTTTGGTGACAATAATAACATTCAGTTTCTTTATGAGACATAGATTTAGATCTCGATTTGCCCTGTCTACCAGAACCCTTTTTCTCACTTCTTCCCCTCATAACCAGACCCTCGGCCTGTTCATCTCCATTATTCCCAGACACCTTTTTTCTCAACTCTTAAGAGTTTAGTGAGGATTTAACATCTTCTATATTAATGGTGTCTTTTCCATAGAGCAATATGGTAACAAAATCCACATATGAAGGAGGCAAAGAACACAACAAAATAAGGGCTTGATCTTCCTCATCAATTTTAATATCAGTATTTTCAAATCTATAATAATAGAATTAAAATTATCAACATATTCCTTAAGAGGCATACCTTCCTTCATATGAAGGGTGCAGAGTCTCTGTTTCAAGTAAAGTCTGTTGGTGAGAGACTTCATCATGTATAGACACTCTAATTTTAGCCACAACTTTGTCGCCGTGTCTTCATCAATAACTTCACGCAGCACCTCATCAACTAGATTCAGGAGAATCGCACTGCTCGCCTTTTCGTCTACCTCATCGTTGTCTTCATTAGACATAGTTTCTGGCAACTTGTCCTTCATGAACAACACCTTCTTTAGACCTTGCTGAGTGGCCTGAATCTTAATGCGCCAAAGACTGAAACTAATCTTGCCATAAAATTTCTCAATTTCAAATCTGGTCGACATCTTAAAAAAAACTCTCCAAAATATTTCTTGGCGAATAGTACCGTATTTGTGAACAGTACTCGAAAAGTATCTGTGAACAGTACCGTCTGTGTGAACAGTATCTGTACACAATACACGAACTTGGCTTTGATACCAGATTGTTACGAAATAAGGATCGAGTAGGAGTTTATGAGAACAAGAGAAAAAAATAAATGACAAGAAAATAAAATAGCGCATATACAAATGAGACAAGGATTTACATGGCTCGACTATGCCTACGTCCACGGGGAAAAGACAGATCAAAATTTCACTATAGAAAGAAAGAGATACAAAGCTAAGTGGCTCATACTCAAAACCCAATTACACGTAGAACTCTCAAACACTTTACTTTTCTTTACTGAGCAAACTCACTCAATTGTTGGATGATAAAACACCATGGGAGCAAGGCTATTTATAGTTAAAATGTCATCACACAATTTGTGAACTTGGTGACCACGCATGGGGTAGCTTGTTAAATACACACCTTGGCTGTCAAGAATGATGAACTAATCGGTGATGCAAGAGGTGATGTAAATGCTGACATCAATATTGAGCCACAAAAGTCGAACAAATTATCTTTAAGTTTTAAAAGTAGGATTAGAAGGTAATTTTCCCTTTATCTCTTTCTATGGTGGGACAAATAAAAAAATCACCATTCCAACCTTTAACTTTTCTTTGCGCGATTCTACATCTTTTGTTAACCCTTTAAAAAAAAAAAAGTTTCAATGTAGTTATTATATATATTGATGTGCTTTTATCAGGTTGTTCATTGACGGAAGATATGACAGATCCTTTTGATTATCATGAACAATATCAAAAATTCAAGAACAGGAATTTCATGAAAGATTTGCCGAGTGAAGCGTCTTTCCGGCGACCGTCGTCGATAAAACACGGTTCCAACCTTAACTTTTCTTTGCTCGATTCTACATCTTTTGTGAACCCTTTACTTAAAAAAAAAAAAGTTTCAATGTAGTTATTATATATATTGATGTGCTTTTATCAGGTAGTTCATTGACGGAAGATATGACACAGCCTCTTGATTATTATGAACAATATAAAAAATTCAAGAACAGGAATTTCATGAAAGATTTGCCGAGTGAAGTGTCTTTCCTGCGACAGTCGTCGATAAAACACGGTTCCAACCCTAACTTTTCTTTGCGCGATTCTAAATCTTTTGTGAACACCTTACTTTAAAAAAAAAAAAAGGTTTTAATGTAGTTATTGTATATATTGATGTGCTTTTATCAGCTAGTTCATTGACAGAAGATATGATAGAGCCTTTTGATTATTGTGAACAAAATAAAAAATTCAAGAGCGGTAATTTATTGAAAGATTTGCCGAGTGAAGGGTCTTTCCGGCGACCGTCGTCAATAAAACACGGTTCCAACCTTAGCTTTTCTTTGCGCGTTAGGAGTGACCCGACGTCTCTCCCTCCTTGCTGTAAGCTGCTTTTCTCTATCTCTGTTTTTTTGTCTACCCTCCCTTAATTAAATATCTATATTGTTCGACTCAAAATATCTATATTGTTGGCATGGAAATTTTATTCAATAGCAGCTTAGCTTCCATTCAACCAATTTTTATTTTTTTAATTTTTTGAAGGAAAAGAAAATTTTATCTCTATCTTGGAAAACCACCATGTGTATATAATAATAATAATAATAATAATAATAGTAATAATGTTGTTGAATTGAACGTGTAGGTGGTGGTAGTATTTTCGATTCGGCAACTCACACCTCCACCACAGACAAGATCAAATCTGCCCTTCTACACTTCTATCAAAAATCTTCTATTGATCAAGTTCTAATACAGTTTTGGGCACCCATCACAACAGAAACAGGGTGCGTCCAACTTGTTACTTCAGACCAACATTTTGCTTTGTCTTATAAACTTGATGAACGACTTCTTGAGTACAGGAAACAGTGTTTGCAATATAAACTTAATGTGGAAGAAGTAGAACACCTTGGAATCTCTGGCCGTGTGTTCCGCCAAAAATGGCCGGAGTGTATACCAGATGTGCGATTTTACTCTATTAAAGAGTACCCACAGCGTGATTTTGCTCTAGCTTGCCATATTTCGGCTTCTTTTTCTTTTCCGGTGTTTCAAACCTCTTTCCAGGACTGCATTGGAGTACTTGAGTTTGCTGCAACTAGCAAGTACGATTTATACTGGACGTATGATTGGTTTTTGAAAGATGAGCTCCAGGTTTGTTGAACTTATATTTGGAGATGCTATGATTTTATTATACTTAAATTCTTGTAATTAATTTGATGAGGACTGAGGTGATCGGATATGAATGCATCATATTTGGAGATGATCGATATGATGTTACCTTTTTATTAATTTAAACCTCACCAAAATTTCTGTTGCAGCCTGCGGTTCTGAAAACTTCTTTGTGTGATGCTTTTATTTGGAAGGTAAGTTACAGCTGTAATATCCAAATGTGAGATTTGGTACTTTCTTTCCTTATTTATTTGTTTCCACTACTCTGTTCTCTCGTCCACAAATGTCTATTCCAATCAACACTTGTAATCCTGGTTCAGGATCTAGGTAAAGATGATGGAGATATATTGGCTGAAATCTACAAAGGGTTGGAAGTGGTGTGCAAAACTCACTCCTTACCTTTGGCCAAGACATGGGTTCCGTGCAGGCATTTCAATACGTTTGATGTCTTTCACCAAGAATACAAAGCATCTTATCTTTTAGATGGTCATCTGGGGAGTTTCTACTATGGGCAGAATAACTTACAAAAGGGGCAGGGAGTTGTTGGGAGTGCATATATGTCACATAAACTATGTTTCTGCAAAGATCTAACTCAATTCAACAGAATTGAATACCCCGACCTGCCCCTTGCACGCTCTTTTGGGTTAACAGGTTGTTTCGCAATTTGCTTGCAAGGTACTTGTGCCAAAAATTATGATTACATACTAGAGTTTTTTCTGAATCCTAAAAACACATATGGTGAATATCCAAGTACCTTCTTGTGCTCAATATTAGAAACAATGAAGCAATATTTCCCAAGCTGTAAGCTTGCTTCTGGAGAAGAACTCGGAAAGGAATTATCGATTGAATTTATTAAACCTCGCCTGAACCAAAAGCCTGCTTCATTTCAATGCCAAACTACTTCATCTCCATCAAATAGGCCTGGAGTCTTACAAAATGGACAAGAGATGATGCAGCCACATTCATCAAATCAACAGCTAATAGTTGAAGTTGATGATATCAACAATGACTGGGATGTTGTTGATGCGGATCAAAATAACATTCTTGTTTCTTGTTCGGATGAGGAACCTGCAACTTTTCAATGCCAAAGTACTAGATCTCCACTTGGGTCTGGAGCCTTACATAATGGACAAGAGCAAAACAATGTTCCCGTTGCTCGTTCAGATGAGGAGGCACGCATGAATCAGGAACCTGATTCTTCGCAATGCCAAAGTACTATATCTCCGCCTGGGTTTGAAGTCTCACATAATTGGCAAGAGACAACGCCACCAAATCAGCCAGTAACAGAGGAAGTTGAAGTTGATGATGTCAACAATGGAAGGACAGTTATTGCAGAACAAAATAACACTGACGGTTCTTCTTCAGAGGATGCAAATTCAATCACTTATGAGGAGCTCGAAAAACATTTCGGGAAGAAAATTGAAGATGTTGCAAAGATTTTTCGTGGTAAGCTTACATACTAATTGAAATTGTGGCTTGTAATCTTGCACTTATTATTTTCAACTTTTGAGTTTCTTCTTATAGAAATAATAGTTTATTCTTTTGCACATACAAATTATTTGATTTTTTGCTATTGAATTCTTATTTTTGCAGTGAGCAGATCTACATTTAAGCGTATATGTAGAGAGAAAAAAATCAGCCGCTGGCCACAAGGTAGGGGAAAAAAGTTTAAAGGATTTTCCTCTAGACGAAACCCTACATGTTCTGAGTTGCCTGCTAAGAAACTTGTGGCTACTGATGCTTACATGACTCCACTTGTAAGACCACCACCAGAAGTAAGGATGATGACTATAAAAGCAACCTATGGAGATGATATGATAAAGTTTCAATTACCTTTTTCATCAAGAATGGTGGAGTTGGAAGAGGAAGTATCCGAGAGCTTGAAATTAAATGTTGGAACCTATAAGATCAAATATTTAGATGATGATGGTGATCGGATTTTAATAACCCGTGACAAGGACTTGCAGTATTGTATGAGTGCTTCCAATTCATTGGGCATGGATACCATCAAAATGTTCATTGAGCCAATTACCAAAATTTCACCTTCAACCTGACTACTTATGCGTGTATGTTCCTAACTATTTGTTGATACCAAGTAATCAAATTATTCTTCACTACGTATTTATGTTAATCAGTAGTTTCAATGTCCTCCTAACTCCCACTTTGGCAATTCTGTATTTCAATGTTTGCATACATTTCAGATTCTAATTTTTTTTGGAAGGTCATTCAGATTCTATATTAATTTTTTTCATTTGATGAGCTAATTAGTTGTTGTAGATACACTGATGGTAGTGCGCACAATGACCATGGAAGCTCAATTTGTCCCCGTGACTTACATCAACGAACCCCCGACCTTCTTTTTGGAAGGCGAAGGCGTACCACTAAACTAATAGCCTTGGGCCACTCAATAAATTTTTTAGAACAAACAACTTCTTAGTTGTTATGCAGCCAAAATTGAGCCACAAAACTTGGTTTTCTTACAGATTATTTCAAAAGCGAGAGGTTTAAAAATGCAAGTTCTCAAGTTTTCATAGAAGCTAATAAAGCATTGGAATTCTTAAATTCTAAATATCATAAAATCATAAAAGGCTTTCCTAAATAATGAACTCTAAAAGAAAATCATAAAATTTTGGGGGGCCTAAAAAGCAATTTCTCAAGTTTTCTTAAATAAATGGATTTTAAGTTCTTCAAATAAAAACTGGTTAAAAGTCATAAAATACACTTTAAAGATACACAAACCCTAAAATTCACAAAATTTTAGGTACAATCCTCTTAAGAAATAATATTTGAAGATATTTTAAAACCCACAAACCTTGGATCACAAAAAATTGTTTAAAAAGAAAAAATAATGTTTAAATGAAATAAACCCTAGAATTTGTAAATTTTAGGTCTAGCTCCTTAAGAATTATTGTAAAATTAGGTCTAGGCATCTTAAGAATCATTGTAAAATTAGGTCTAGGCATCTTAAGAATCATGGATTAATAACCTTTTGCTAATTTTCTTAAATGCAATTGTGATGTTGTGGTCGGAATTTGGTGTAGGGTCGCGTTACGATCCGCTTACGACCCGACGACCCGTTGAATGAGCTTTGTGGGAAAAAATTTGAGCCGTAGAATGAGCTTTGTGGGAAAAAATATGGCCCTTTTTTTTTTTTCTCATGGGTCATGGACCCTAATTAGTCTCTTGAGCACTTAGGGTTCGGAGTGCGGGAAGAGAGACTCTGAAATTCGTACATAAACAGAGTAAGTGGCTGAAAACTTGTAATCTCCGATTTAACACATAGTAAAAAATTTCGTCGGATCCCAACTGCGAACGTAGGCTGTTGCCAAACCACATATAAATCTTTGTATTCTTTGTGTAGCGTGTTTACTTTCCTGTCGTGACTCTTGGTTCAACTTTGATTCGTTGCGTTTGTCATAACAACAATAAATATTTGAATCCAAAAATTATAAGCCTTGAATAAAAGAAAACAACTTGAAAATTCTTTGATAAAGTTAGGTTAAAGCAATTTAGCTTGATAGAACAAAATTCAATTTTCATCTGTTATATTTGCTAATTGTGTGTGTGAAACCCTAACAATTGGTATCAGAGTTATAGTGACAACTATTATAGATGGAAAGTACGTGGCCGAGAAGTTTGATGGAAGAAGGAATTTCAGCCTTTAGCAAGTCCGGATGCGGGATTTACTAATTCAGCATGGTCTAGAAGAGGCTTTGGGTAAGAAACCAAAAAAACATGGAAGATGCAGATTGGGGGAAGATCAACTTGAATGCAATGAATGCGATTTGATGTTAATGGATAATATTGTGTATGATGTGATAAAATAAGATTTAGCTGCATACGTGTGGAAGAAGTTGGAGATTCTGTATATGGGAAAGAATTTTACCAACTGGTTACTTTAATGTATATTGGAAAGAATCTTACCAAACGGCTACTTTTAAAGTAAGAGTTGTATTCCTTCAAGAAAAAAAAAATGGGTGTGGCAGACTGAATTTTGGATTATTGTTATTACTTAATTTACTTCGTACAAAAATATTTTCTTACAATCACTTTTTTAAAATTGTATAGTGATAAGAAGGATCAAACCATAAATTCAATTGAAATTACATTTTGAAAAATATTTTAAAAACATTGTTTGTGATTTGGAAACTAACCTATTGAAATTTAAACATCTACTCTAAAGACAATGAAATTAAGAAAGCATAAATAAACATGAGGAAAATGATAACATAATTGAAATATATTGAATAAGAAGAATGTAAAAAATAAATTTGCAAGCATTGAGCTAACTAGCTCTGTCCAACTCCCAAACCGGGCTCTCTTTGTTCTGTTTCGAATACCATATATATAGGCGAAACACACATTCAGCCCTTACAACCATTCTCTTTCCTTCCCACATTTTGCCCATCAATTCAGCAGTCCTTGTCTCCCACGCGGCTTGCCATCTTCTCTTTTCTCTTCTTTTTTTATTGTTCTCTCTCCTCCCTTATTTCCTCTTTTTGACTTCTCCTTCCCCATTTTTCTTACCCACTTTCTTTTTATATTTCTCTCTCTATCCTCTCTCCTACTTTTCCCTTCTCATCTTCTCTCCCTCGTTCACGTGCTCGCTTCTTTCTTCTTTCATTTATACATACATATATATATATATATATAAAGATTTTGCTGATGGCTGAGTTGTTGATGATGTGTCAAGACATTGGGTGAGATCCAAACGCATAAACCTTCTTTGTTAGGTCATAGATTCCAAGATTGGATGCGTAGGATGAAAGTTTCTCTACACAACCAACTCTGCTGAAGTGCTCTTATGCTTCATTGTGGTTATAAATGAATATAACCTTCGGCTATGCCACACATCTTCACTTTTGCTTCTTTTCTTCTCATTCTCTAATTAATACAAATAAAACATAAAACATAAATATAATAATCTTTACGTAACATAAATACTACTATAATATATATCTTGAGTATTTAAAAAAATGGCTTTTGTGTACTTGTCAGGTGAGCCTACAAGAATTTCTTGTTGAGTTCAACAAAAGTATTTGTAATTTATTTAATATTGATGTCAAGTTAAGTGATGAGGATAAAGAAATTATTTTGTTAACATCAGTACGTTCTACCCATAAGCATTTATTGAATACTTTACTTTATGAGAGAAATACCATCTCGGTGGAACAAGTTAAGAGTGCTTTTTCCTAAATGAAAAGTTGAATGATGAAGAAAATCATGATGCTCCGTCTTAAGTTCTTATTGCTCAAGAGAAGAAGAGATTTAGAGCTTCAAAAAACCTTGTGCCATTATCAGAGAAAAGATTTTACAAGTGTGGAAGACCGGGGCATTGTGATACCCCCAGATTTCCAGATGCGGGTTGGCCAGGCGCACGCCCGATTACCCAAGAATATCAAACCAATTAGCAATAAGCGAATACAGAATACAATTAAGATAAACAAGAATAAATAAAACTGCTGAAAAGAAACTAAGAAGATAATCCAAACCTGAAACCTCAGAATAAAATTTTATAAATAAGAAAATTATTCTTATACATCCAACTTCTCTATTTCTAATACAACTCGGGAATCCATCTGGTGGACCCCTAATAAAAACCAATACTAGAAAACGAACAACCAAAAAGAAGTCCAATGCTAAACCATGAAGAAACCTCCTACGTCGTCGGTAGAATGAGTAGCCGTCTCTGCTCAGCACGAACAAGCTCTAAGACCTGGAACCGTCCGTTATTTGAAAAATAATAGTGGGTCAGGCCTACAAACAAGTTTTATCCTAACTACAATCCAAACAGAGACCAAATACGCAGATACATCCTAGATGTCTCAACCATAACTATGTAGTCCGTAAATAAATATATATCCACACTACAGGACATTCACTAGACTATGATGAGGGTTTCAACCTAAATAAAAGGCAACATGCAAAACGCACCTAAGTGGGCATGACTACCTAAGCCTAACAGGATATACCTCAACCAACATAGCCAGCTACGCATTCTACTGCATATACGCTCCCTAACCGATGATCTTGAGACTCAAGCTCATACTGCGGTACCATAAATATATATTTAAAGTCTGATCCTATCCATCCATAAGAAATTCAGTTAGTCGTTCAGCTTGTTCAGCCGCACAGACTAACATAAATATATGAGCTGGCTCTGCATTTTGAGGGAGCCGGCTCCCTCTTCTATAGAGCCGGCTCTCTCCCTCTCTGAGCCTTGTTCCGTTTCCGCTTCGTCTTCTTCATTTCCGGCTGATTCCAACCCCTCCGTACTTCATTTATATTGACCTTATGAGTCTAATATGCATCCAATAATATCCCAGTTATTCATTCCAATCAGTTTGCATCAAAAAGAACTATAAAAACCATTGCCGATTTAATTACGTTTTAACAACAAGCAACATATTTCAACTTTCAGAAACCATTACAGTTTAAGCTAAATACATAGACACGAGTAATTAATCATTTGATAAGCATGCAATATTCAATTAATATCCAATTAAGATCCTAGAGATCATCTAAGGATGCACGGAACATAGGTCAAAGGGAGAGAGATAGAATAGAACTTGCCTCTGTAGTTTTGGTTTGAAACCTTTAACCGTCCTCTGTCCAGACTTTCCAGCTACCTCTTGATTGTCGTCCACTCCTTTGTTGCCTTAGGTTCAACCCATGATCAACACCCCTTCTTCCTCTTCTTGGTTCAACCTTGGTTCTTGGTCAGAACCCTAATTCTTCCTCCTCTGTTTTCTCTCAAAACTCAATTCGTGAAACGAGTTCTTTGTTGCTTCTAAACCCTAAGTCGACGTAATATTATAATTATATAGGCTTAGTGCAAAACCTAGTTCTATTCCTAGGAGGAAACCGAAAGCAAAAGAAAATAAAATAAAATATAATATAAAATAAATAATATATAAGACGATTACGGATGTTGACGAGGCCGCTTGTATACGTCAAAATAATATAGTGAATGTGCGGTTCAAGAAAAGCCTTTTTGGTCAAATTTAAATTTATAAAAACCACTACCACCACTACTACTAACGTAGCAAGAGTGAGTAGGGATCATCCCAAGGGATTATACGTGTTGGAAATTAACTTCGACTCTAGTGGATCACAAGATTGCAAAGGAGAGATTGATTGTTTGAATTAAACTAAAATTCTATTAATTAAAATGCAAGAAAAGTA